GCCTCTGAATGTGCATCAGCCATCCTAAAATGTAAACTAAATTTCATGGAGAAATCAGCTTTTTAAATGCTTGCCTGTGCTGAAACATTTCGTAAAATTCAGGACACAGAGATGGGGGCTGCTGAAATATGCCCCAAAGGCACAGTTTCAAGAAAGGTTTGAGCAGTCCCATCTCTGTTGTCTCATCACTAGTAAGCCTTGGCTGACCAGAATGGACTGATGTATAAAAGACATGGTATGTGTGTGTGTGTGTGTGTAAATGTGTTTGTAAAGTATTTCAATTGTTTTGCATTTTTGTTTTAAAACAATGTTTTGATTGCAACGTTATTTTTAATTCCCCTTTTTCTTTTCTACTTCATACTGTTTTAGCTGCTGTGTTTCAGTTTATGGTATGCTTTGGATTTTACTTTTAGTTTGGGGTTTTCATCTACTGAATATTTAACTTGTTTTTTTGCTAGTTACATATTACGTGTGTTGCAGGTTTATACTTTTATCAGATATGTTTTGATCTGTTGCTTATTTTTATTTTTATGTAAGATATGTTTTGCTTACATGTTGTTTGGTGCTTTGACTCTGGATTTGGGAGAAAAACAGGATATAAATAAATAAATAAATAAATAAATGTGCTTTGAATCCCAAATAGGAGAAAAGTGGGATATAAATAGTATTGAATAAGACTTCCTCTTAACTTAGGTCTGTTCAAGTGTATGAAATCTGATTTGGACTGGCATGGGCATCAGCCGTACATGAGCATGCTAGTTCCAATCCTGTTCTTGTCATCTTCATTGTGACAGGAGCCACTTTCTGAAGCAAAGGACCTGATCTACACTTAGTTCAATGGTAAGTAACTACTCTTTGAGTCTTTGGATTGATGCATGTGTAATAGTGTCTTCAAGTTATCTATCAACATGTGGTGATCCTAGGAATTTCATATTTCTTTTGAAAAACAAAACAAAGAATACTCAGAGGTGGTTTTGCAAGTTCCGTCTTCTGAAAATAAGCCTACATTATCTGGAAAAGCTATTACAGAATGGAAGTCTGGACAGAGAACTTCACTCTCAGGAGTACTATGCAACCTCCTTGATATTAAGGACTATAGCTTTCAAATTATCATTTGTACTACATTTACTTTTCATTCCTGGAATGAATGGTATCAAAATGAGACACCGTGAAGACAGTATCAATAGGTTTGGTATATATCATATAATATTATGAATAATAGCAGTAGCAAAGGACAGGGTCTACAAGAGTTTTGCTTGTTACTATGAGAACCAGCCCAGTGACTAAAAAGAGCTCTTGATTGCTCAATGGTTCTTTATTACCATTACAGCCGGAGGCATCCAGGTGCACAGAAACAATGTACTTGAAGAAAAATGAGATGCAAGGAAATATCATTCAACAAGAACACATTATTCATTTGTTCAAGATGCAAACTAATGGGTGCTTGGCCTTATACAGCTTTTCACTAAATTAAAAAACACAAAGGTGAAGTACATCACTCATCCTAGTGCATACCAAACTGAAATTGTATTTACATTCTAAAATACTGAAAAAGAGCAACTTGTGTTAGTCATCTTAGAATTCTAGGATGTTTAATGCAGCTTTATTGTAATATAATGGTTTCAAAGACAAAAGCAAGGCAAAATGCGATTCTCCTTAGCTGGTAAATATTAGAGAGCCTTATTAAGTTATTTCATAACAAGAAAAGGGGGTTGAATATTGCACTGAATCTTCACTTCAAAGGTTGCATATGTGTTTATATACATTCTGTTGTAAGTGGAATGACTGAAACACCATGAGGATGAACCTCAGGGAACAGATGCTCATGAGGCTCATAAATGCACTACAGTGAACAGAATATTAAGCTGTGAATCATGAGAATATCAAAGAGCTTTCCTCAAAGATGGCCAAAGTCAATGCACTTTGGTGTTCGATTTTGAGTAGAAACCAGTGAGATGCCCCATAAAGACTCTTCTCCACCTTGGATCTTCAACACTCAGTATTTGGGGACAAATTGTCCCTACATACAAAGGTTCTATTGCAATTGAACCTTAATGTTCTTTCTTCTTGATATAATTTATCTATGAATTTATCTATCAGGAACATAAGAAATTGCCTTACACTGTGTCAAACAATGGGTATATGCAGCTCTGTGTTGCCTGTTCATTGAGGTGGAGCCACAAAACCATTAAAGCAGCCATTAAACCATTATATTTTGATCTGGTTTGCTAGATTTTTTGAGGCACACGACTCCAAATTACCCCAATCATTTGTCCACCCCATGTAAAGGTAAGTACGATGTGGCATTATCATGCTGCCTCCATGAACAGTTTCAGATAATATGGGGCTTGCTACCTGTGCATTTATCCCCCTTGTTAGGAAGAAGAGACAGGTGGAGAGAAATGAATTAATCTATATTTGATCTTTTGGAACAATCCTATAGCTAGGCCCTGGAATTAGCACAAGAAATATGGAAAATAATAATAATAATAATAATAATAATAATAATAATAATAATAATTCTCAATCTTAATGGAAAGGGGACCAACTGCAAAGATTTTTTTCAGCTCCAAGTACAAATGAAAAGGACCAATAATTTCTTCATCTTTTTATACTTTTTCACACAAAAATGTATTTTGTACAGAATGCAGTATTTTCTGAAAGCACACATACACAAAAAATGCAAAAGAAGTTGTGAAATAGGAAAAAAGGATATCTTGCAGTGCTTGCTGCAAGTCCATCTGACAAGGTTTTACTCTTCCTCAAACTCAAAATGTTTCATATGTAGTAGTCTACACTAATTGATGTTACTACTCCAGGGTTTCAGACCATATTTTTCCTTGGAACTCTTAATACAAAGCAGACATGTTGCAAATAAGCAATGGTCTCTCATTTAGTATTACATAAGCTTTTGGTTTTTTAAAATCTGTTTTATCTGCCTGTCATTGCTGTGCCATATGTTTACAATTTGACAATAACTTTTATCAATTCTATATCTCATGTCAACTAATTTCAAGTGGGACTCTTCACATTTTTGGACCTAATGGCTTCGGTGTTTGCAAATATGACCCACAAAATTATTGTATTTATTATCAACTTATTTTTACTGAATGTTGGGATTTTAACTTACTTTTTATCTCCTCTTATGGCTAAAAAATATCAATCAAAGGGTATTTTAAAATGTGTTTGGATATTTATTCTTTCCAGAGCATTCATATCTCTACAAACATCCATATTCCTCAACGAGTCATGCTTTTTTCAAATAAAAACAAAAACCAAAAGAAAACATCAATGCCAAACTTTTTTTGTAGAGTAAATGTTCCAACTAACTTCAACCAGTTTTACTTTTCAGGAAGTCCCTGACTGAACTCTTGTCTTTAGAGAACTTATTTATTAGGGGTAGTCACTATAATTGAATCTTTGCTGTCTATTTGATTCAACAGGAGGGGCAGGGTTGGGGAGGATGTTTAGTGTAAGCTGTATTGATTAACATATCTTTGTTGTGTTTATGTGCTTTCCGGTCAGCTCCCATTCTAACGTTTCTGTGGTAAAATTTATTCAGAGGAGGTTTACCACTGAGTTCTTCTTAGGCAGAGAGAGTGTGACTTGTCCAGTAGGTTTCCCGAGTAGCTTTCCCAGATCCATTGTCTAGCACACAAACTACACCAGTTCATAGATTAAGATCTTCTGGGGAGGCCCTGCTCTTGGCCCCACTGGCCTCATAGGTGCGGCTGATGGGGACGAGGGACAGGGCTTTCTCGGGGGTGGCCCCATGGCTGTGAAACTCCCTCCTGAGTGAGATCAGGTCAGCCCTCTTCCTCCTGACTTTTCGGAGTAGCTAAAGACCTGGCTGTGGAACCAAGTGTTCGGCCCATCACAGGAATATATAAAGTGAAAGTGAAAGTTGAACGTGCAATGACCCAGTACTGTTTATGGACAACGGCAATGTCTTTGTGTGATATATCATGTTATATTATGTGATGTGTTTAATAATGTTTAATCAGGGAAGGGTAAATTTTGATGTTTTATACTGTTTTTTATCGATAGCACTGAATTGTTACCAACACTGTGAACTGCCCTAAGTCCCCTTCAGGGTTGAGAAGGGTGGTATACATATAAATAATAAACAAGATCGCTATACATAAATTTGGTGTTATTATATGTGTATTTGCCTTATACAAATTCATGAATTTCATTGGGTTTTCTTAGGCAAAGAATACAGGCAATCCCCAAGTTACAGACATCCAACTTACATATGACCCATACTTAAGAACAGGGCTGAGACAAAAAGAAGTGAGAGAAATCTACCCCTAAAAGAGTTATCATGGGGAAAAGGCATCTCCACTGAAGCTTTATCACCAATACTTCCTTCTACAACAAGCCAAATTTTCAAAATCCAATTATTTCAGGGACAGAAAGTGAGGTGAAATCTTCTGAACAGGGGCACAGACAGCAAAACTCCACAGGGATATTAACCCTTCCCTATGCTATTCAAAGTGTGTGTGCTGCGGGGTGAGTTACAATTAAAATGTACCTTATTGTGACCTACATAAATTTCAACTTATGAACAAACCTATAGAACCTATCTTGCCTATAAGTCGGGGACTGCCTGTACTTAGGTGATTCTGTCAGTTTGATCCTCTGAAATGTAGCCGACAGCACCTGATATATGTTGATTGTCTCCTATCCAGGGCTGATTCTGCTTAGCTTTTATGATCAGGCAGGATCTGATGTCTTTAGTGTACTTAGTCCATTTGATTGCTATCTTTTATGTTAAAAACATCATTGTATAATGATGGAAACAGAAACAAGGACTAAGTTCTTGGGGTCTTTTCGGGTTATATGGCCATGTTCTAGAGGCATTTCTCCTGACGTTTCGCCTGCATCTATGGCAAGCATCCTCAGAGGTGAGCTCTGTTTGGTAACTGGGAAAAGGATTTAACAAGGACATTACTATTTTCTTTTCTTTTTTGTAAAAAGGAAAGTATCATAAAACATACCTGAAGACCAATGGGTCCTGGTGGACCAGGGAAACCTCGTGGACCTTCATCACCTTTTTGCCCAAACATCCCTTGCTGTCCTCTTGGGCCAGGCTCTCCATCACCTCCCTAGCAGATTTAAACAGACATAATGAGTCATGAAACAAATGAACAACAGCAGCAGTAGCAGCAAAAGCCCTCCTCTACTAATCTCACTTATGTTCTAATGCTAAATTATGTGGCACTAAAAGCAATGGAATTTAACTGCACATTTAGTTATTTATTTGTTTATTATGCATTAGAAATACTCCCCTGCATCCCATTTGCACAAATCCTGAAGCAGTTTATGCCACTATAATAAATAATAAAATGACTCAACAAAAATCGAGTTATCTAATATATATATGAGGGAATTCCAACGAGATCACAAATGGCAGCAAGCCAAGGCAAAACAGCCTTTTCTCAATAGCTGAAACACATCACCATCAAGGCTTTCTGTACAACAGAGAGGACATCTTTTGCTTAATCTTTGGAATTATTTTATTCTTGCTATTTGGCTCACTCTTAGCAATTAAAGTGGTATGGAAGTACAAGAAGAGGAAGATACGTGAAATCTCCTTTTTATTTTATTCTTGCTGTTGTTTGCTTGACTGTTAGCAATTAAAGTGGTATGAAATTGCAACAAGAAGGAAATACATGTTGTTTTATGGATAAATAAATAAATGCATTAAACCATGTGGTGGGGATAAGAATCAGCTTTATAGAAAGACAGTGGCACTGTGTGATTGTATTCTGACTCATTCACTCAGCAATTACAGTGAACTAAAGACTTGTGTTCTCCAGAAACAATTAAAGTAAGTGGCCCAGTCATAATAAAGTCAGCAAATGAGATTTTGTTATGTACTTTATTGATCAGCTATTTTGCTGAGAGTTGGCAGATGCTGGTTAATTCTAATACAAGCATATTAGAATTGTTAGAAAACAGTGAGGTTCTTAACCTATTGGCTGCGTTATTTCTGAAATGTCCAGAGAATGGTGGAAAAATACTACGCATAGGTTTGGACTACAATTCTGAAGGCTGCATCAAAATCCCATTGACTTCAGATACAGTTCAGCAACTTAACGATGTGCGTGATTGTAACATTTATTCTATCATTGCAAGGAAGTCTATAGAAATTACTATCTTGCAAAGCAGACATTTTAAAAAAAGGCCATAAAACAGTCTGCAAGTCCAGTTCTCTATCACAGTAAAGTCATAGAAAGTATCTATTACAGCACACTGCATATAACAGTATCAATACTGCTCTATTGTTAAATAAAAGGATAACATTCAATGCTGAGTATACAAAGCCACAATAATGGCTTGGTGCTTTCTTTCAAAGAGATATAATACTATAGGTAAATGATACACTCTGTGTCTTTGGAAAGATCTGAAGTGAAGAAAGCATCCAAACAGCAAATCTGATTGCTATCCAATTAAAGACCCAGGCTGCATCTGCACTGCAGAATCAATGTAATTTAAAATCACTGTCTTTGTTCAATGCTATGGGATTATGGTAGTTGCAGTTTTACATGGTGTTTTCTGCCAAATAACTCCATAGCATTGAACCATGTCAATTTTTTCATCATGCCAGAAGCGACTTGAGAAACTGCAAGTTGCTTCTGGTGCAAGAAAATTTACTGTCTGCAAAGACGTTGCCCAGGGTACGTCCAGATGTGTTACCATTCTGTGGGAGGCTTCTCTCATGTTCCCACATGAGAAGCTGGAATTGACAGTTGGGAGCTCACTCCATCTCACGAATTCGAACTGCCAACCTTCAAGTCAGCTGTTCAGCCGGCACAAGGGTATAACCCATTGCACCACCGTGGCTCCTTACCATGTCAATTAAAGTGGTGTCAAACTGCATCATTGTAGTTGCATCCCCACTGTATCAGTTGGCTATAACAAATGACTTAATGGATAGCTGAGAACAGTGATTGGATTTAGGTCTAAACGCCTCATTTCATTTATCACATTATTACTATTTTTAAAATAAGTAAAAAGTCAGAAAGAAGATCAATGTAATTTGCTGGTAATTAATAATTAAGTGATGAAGAATATATTGGAAATATCTATTCCATCTGTAAACCACCAGCATAGACTTTACTGAGGCAAATTATTTCCCCAGTTTTCTGCTCTTACTCAGGCCTTTTAATAGTTTCGCTCCTATAAGGCAAAAGCAGGAGTGTGTTGACCCAGAACTGGAACCTGAAGCGTGGAATTACACACACACACAAAGCCTTGAGGAGGAGATTTAAAATCTTCTTCATTTTAAGGTACATAAACTGTGCCTGAGGTTCTGGTATAAGTAATGAGGTTTTGGGGGAAAGGTACTCATTTGCTATGCACAACAAGGAGGATACTTACAGCTATACCAGGAGCACCGACAGGACCTTGAAGACCTGGTGGTCCAGGAGGACCCTGAAAGAAAAAGAAAATAAGCTAAAGCTGGCATCTAAAGTCAAGCAAGTGGAGGATTCACAGGAGAGTATTTTATATTATTCAGCCCTAATAAGCATCTCCACATTTCTTTGGAGGGAAGCTGTTGCTACTCCAAGGTCTTTTATATTCAGAGCAGTCAAGCATTATTTGTTCATCTCCCAAAGTCTTTGCCTCTTTGTCTACAATACACTAGAAACTGACATTTATCAAAGGTAATTATGCTCACAGTGTTTCAGGGTATTTCCATACAAAAATGAATCATGGCCTCTCCTAGCTTTTCCAGAACTAGAAAATATCTTTCTACCAATCTCTCTACTATCAGGCCTTTTTGAGATTTAGCAAGAAAAAAAGAGAAAAAATATTTTTCTTATTTGTTGCCAAAAGAAATGCTTCCCATTAAAATCTTGTTTCCTGAATTAAACGATGATTTGTTCTCGTGCTTGGCAAACTCTCCTTTCTGTGCTAATTTTCATAATAAACATCCATCTGCCTGCCTGCCTATCAATTATCTACCTCCTTTCAAAACTCTACATTTCAGTAGAGTAGGCACTCAATTGTTCTCTCTGAGTTCTCATCCAAAAGGCATGACATAAAAGGATAAGGACAGTAGAGGAAAAACATAAAAAGTACTTGCTCTTACAACAGGGTACTAGATTAGAAGGTGCTAAAATGGAGCTGATTATTCTGTAGAACTGTTTTAGCATCCCTTCCTCTGTATTGTCATATCTGTTGAAGAGGTAGAGGAAAGTACTCAGCAAGATCAACAAAGTGGCCCTGCTTCCTTTTTTCCTCTGCTACAGACTGATGGAATGACATACAAAGTGAAAATGTGCATGTCACAGGTTTGTCTACATTGGCCCTGGGACACTCAAGAGTTTGCTGGAAACTCTAGTATATCCTGGGGTTTGGGGACAGTTTGGACAAGAATTTGAATTAACCTGCAGCCTACATAGATGCAGTGCTATCACTTTTTCCCTGTGCTCATCAGTGCGAGGAAAGGGGTGAATCTGCTATCTCCAAAGTATTTGACAAAAATGGAAGGAGACATTCACCCACTATTGACTTTGTTGTATGTGCCTGGTATGTTCTACAGAAAGTCTTAGGGAACCCAAAAATGTTATCTGGGTTTATAAAATGTGCCCACACTGTCATGTTACACATCAACAGCAGCTGATGAGGTGCACTTTCTTGTTCCCCATCTTTCCATTAGAACTGATCAAATTTAGGGGAGCATTGGCATGACCTGAGATAGCAAAACTCAAAGATGGATACTTTCTCCAACTTAAAAGACAAGGGCAGGTTATTCCCATGGCAATCTGTCATGAGTGCTTTGGTTGTGCATTTCCTGCATGGCACAAGGTTAGACTGGATGGCCTTTGTGGTCTCTTCCAACTTTACAATTCTATGATTCTGTAATCAATTGAGACTTCCTTCCATTTTTGCTCCCACATACAGGACATGTACATTTAGAAAACTATAACATTTGGCAGGCTCAGGGTCCCGAGTGTGTGCTTAAAATTAGAAATGGGAAAGAAGCTAAGCTGTATGCATATATTTAGTGCATCATAACATTTAGTCAAAAAAATCCTAGATGTTGTAGCTAGCAATTGGCAGTTGTGAGACATGATGGGACCTGCAGCTGGAGGACCAAATGACTCTCATCCACAATCTAGGGGTGGTTTTACACAGACATAATGTGGGCCTGAACCAGCATTGGAAACCTGGTTCTGGCCTGCATAATGGCCCAGCATAGCACGCTGAGGTGCCTCAGCAGTGAGAGGATGTCCACTTTTCCAAGCTGCATGGAAGCTGGTTTGGCTCCACTTCTCCCCCATCCTACTTCTCCCAAGCTCCTTTGCCAGTCATACAACATGAAATCAGGAAGAGCTACAGACAAGCACCAGGTAGGTCCCATTGTATCAGCTGTAGTTGGAAGCAGTGAGGTGGGAGAGGGTGGAATTGGACAGCCATCCCACATCCTTGGGCTGCCTGTGCCTGGGGAGTGCAGGATGGCTGTCGAGACCCCCATTATCGGTTCTGCATAGGAATTGACTGCGAGTGTCTTGCTCAAACATACTGGGGTTTTTTATATAAGTATTCATTTAGTCATTCATTTAATTAGTCATTCGAATGTCATAAAAAAGAAAGGAAAGGGAAATAATTGCCAGAGGAAAAGTAACAAGATACCCACATTTTCTCCTTTGTCACCTTTGCTCCCCTTCTGACCTGGTTCTCCAATTTCACCCTGTAATAGAAAGAAAAGTGTGACACTTCTCCTTTAGAAAAGCTGGCTTTTCAGTTAACTGTGTCAATACTGTAGTACTTTTAAATGTCATCTCATTATTCCTTCTGCTTTATGCCACAAATTTAAGAGTGAAGGCCTAAGGAGGGCAATTTTACATTGATCAACCACATTTTGGTATGACAGATTAGAACATGCATTGACTGCTGTGGCTCAAAGCACAACATGGCCTCATGTCAAAACCTACCATAATTGGATTTTAAAGGGAGGACCCTCACTGCCATTTCTTTCACTATAAAATAATTGTGAGTGATCAGCTGAAGGTGAGTTCCTCCTCCTGTGCACAAACAGCATCACAATTCAGATTATAGACAATTAACGAGAAATAATTATTGCTTTTGGCTATATTTGGATGATTCTATCAGAGCTTAAAATGCCAACATGCAAATAAATGTTCTGCGTGGGCACATAGCTCTTTGCTCCTCCCTTTGCAAGGACTGCTATTAGAGGAAGTATCAAATATTAGTTTCCCATTCAATCCAAACCAGAAAACGATGGCTGCCGGCTGCCAAACATGTTGATGAGCCTGGCTTGGTTTATTCAAACCCAGTTTCCTGATTTAAACGAAATATAAAACTGTGATAGGCTGCAATTCCACATGTATTCAGGTGTTGCACAAAGGCAGGAACCAGCGGATGTACGCCTTCGCACAAGTCACTCAAATTGTATTCCATTTTATTACACCATAAAACCATGGAAGCTCAGGGATTGAGCACAGTTAATTTAATTTAATTTATTTACTTACTATATTTCTATACCTCCCCTCTCAACCTGGAGGCGACTCAAGGCACCCCTGCTCAGGCTTTTCACATTGCTTATTGTGAAATGCAATTGCCCAAATCAGTGCAGTAGAAATTTCAGCTGCATGGTAACAGGTCTGCAATGTATCCATGAGTCTTCCCAATGTATGTGGCAAAAAGTAGCATTTGCATAAAAGCAGTGAGCAGAAAACAATAAGGTTCACTCTTTTGTTTTCCACCACTTTTCCTTTGTAGTTCCTCCTCCCAACCAAGATCCTAGCTGTGTTTCTTGAACAATTGGGATAGCTTCACGTTTGGATTGAGGAAAAGGAAAATGTCCTAGGGGGCCCCTAACATGGCAAAATGTTCCTCTAAAGAGCATGTGGTGGCATTATTTGCTATATTTTCAAGGCTCTGGGACATCCTGAGAGCTAAAATAATTGTCACTTTGCCCACTCTTGCAGTTCACCAGAGGCCCCCAAACTAAGCCCCACAGGCCAGATATGGCCCACCAAGGTAATTTACCCAGCCCTCACTCTAAACTTTAGACTTAAGGTCACCCAAAGTCTGAAATGGCTTGAAGGCACACAACAACAATCTTAATAAACTTGGCCATCTCATTAGCCAAATGCAGGCCGACACTTCCCATTGAAATACTGGGAAGTTGATGCTGGTTCTTCATTTTAAATATTGCATTGTTCTTTCATGTTTTTTGCACTACAAATAAGATATTTCAGTGTGCATAGGAATTCATTAATTTTTTCAAACTATACTCTGAACACCCCCTCCCCCCACTTAAAAAAAGGCCTGAGGGACTGGGAACTGGTCCTCTGTTTAAAAAGTCTTAGGATCCCTGCATTAGAGAAATACATTTTTGGCAGTGAAGAACTGACCTTGTCCCCGTCTTCTCCTGGTGAACCAGCTGGACCAGCAGGGCCAGGAAGTCCAACAGGTCCTTGTATTCCATCACGTCCAGCAGGGCCCTGAGGACCTTTTTCACCCTGTTTTTTTAAAAGACAAATCAATTATTATCCATCCTGTTAGATATTAATGGGCAGTGTAGGACACTAAACACATTGAAGGAAATATACTAATACATCAACCAATGATGTTATTAGCCATACATTTCAAAGTAGGCTCATTGAATCAAAACTGGGATAAAATGTGACTTCAAGTTAGGAAAGTTCTGGATGGCCTTAAGGGAATCGTTGTCTCTATGTATAGTGATCTCTGTAGCCTCATGGCTCTCTTTGAAGACTCTTCTCTGTATCCACCTGCCATCTGAAGTTAGCTGGATGTTTACAGGAGACTTTTGTCTTCTTCATTGTGGTGCTCCATCTTTGAAATCATTAGCTTGATGCTATTTCAATGTCAGGTGAAGATCTTTTTAAAAATATGTCCCTAGGCTTTATTTGAAAGGTGAATGTAGATCTTTTTTATGTATGCTGCTGAATGATATTATCACTTTTAACTGCTCCTTCTTGCCATTTTGTATAATGGGCACTTGCTATAGCACATTCATTTTTGCCTGTATGTATGCATGAGTGTTATATTATTCTGTTCTAAGGTGCCCTGGAAGATTTACATAAAAATATTTTAAATACAAATAAAGATAAAAAATGAATTCGAAAAATATCTTTCACAAACTTTATTGACTGAAAGCTAGCATTCCATTTCAAAAATGAAAATACATTCTTGATGGGGATGTGCTTATCAATAATCTATATTATTTAATATGAGGATACTCAGGAAAATTAACAGTAATTTTGAACATAAGTGGTTTGCTGTTATTATTATTTGCAGAAACATTTTCACACGCATGTGTGATCAGAATTTGAAAGCAACTAACAGTAAATAATGTATTAATCCAACTGTTAATTTCAATTAGAGTAGTTATATTAAATCAATGGGAATATAGAAATGTTGATTTACCATGTTTTATAATTCAAATCTAGTCCAGACTTCCAGTGTAGTTATTTGTAATTAGGTCTTTTTACAATAACCAAGCTATGTATAGGCAATTAGGCATACAAAGCTTCTGACAGGGAAGTTCCATTTTATAAAGGCTTTTCATGACTAGGTAGCTGTGAGTTGTTTTGGGTGGTATGGTCATGTTAGGAGAAGAAACCTTTGGCGTCAGATTGCAGAAGTGCATTGTAGCAAATAAAATAGTAAAGTATGAGTTGAGAAGGTGATCATATTGTAGATGTGTGTCTGCCTTCAACACATAAGGTAAATAGATGCCTCCAAAATCTCTAACTGAGCATATATGATAATTATACTTTGCTAGAGGACTGTGTTTGGGTCACAAATAGTGCGTGGTAGTCTTAGGCAAGACCTCCACATTTCAACATGAAGCGGGATAATGAAGAAGGAGGTTCAGATGAGGTGACAAGAATGACCATGTTGAAATCAAGTAAATGATACTTTTGAATAAATTTTACTTGTGAATGGTGCTTAAACCAGGTCCCTTGATCTCAATATTTTTACCATGCTATAATGCAAACAGATTTATCTTTTAGTTGCCCAGTGGGTAAGTATCTATATGGAATTTAAACTGCATCCCAAATCATCTAATGTCTGGGAGATAAGCGAACAGTTTAATTGATTATCTCCAGAAAATGAAGCTTTAATTATATATCTGAATTCATATTGTTGTGTCTCTGTGTACTATTTTAACACACAATTCAAACATGTTTCATATACATTTTCCAGAAAATCCCTGCTGTTATCACTATCACTATTACAGTTCCATTTGCACCTTATTTTCTTTCCCTCTTCCTTATATCTGTCATCTGTTACCAACTCCACTCTGACTTTTTCTGTCACTCCACATCCAATCCTTGAACTATATTGCTTCCTCTCTTTGTTCATCAATCCACTATCCTAACCTTCTTTAAGTGCTTTATAAAATCCAGAATGCAAAATGACTTTCATTTTGGCAGGCAAACACCACAGGTTGATAACTAAAAAATATGTTTTTTGATCTACTATGCCTTTGCCCAAGAACCATTCACTGCCCACATTATCTGCACCCTTGCTGCCACCTAAATCTCACCACATCCATCTTTCCTTCTCATTTGCAGTCTTGGCTGCTCCTTTTCCTCTGTTATCTCCTTTGTCTCTGGGAAAAAAAATTCTGAGCAGAGACTGTCAACCTTCTGTATTTTCATTAAAAACTAAGTAGCAACTTTCTTATTTTTGAAGTTTGTTATTATCACATTTATTCTGTTTTGGAATCAGAAAGCATTTAACCAATGAAGGAAGGGGAGTGTGTATGGGGAAGCAAAGCAATAATAAAAGAGCAAAACATAAGCAAGGGTTTAAATTAAACCTGCACTGAAATATTTGACCCAGGATTTTTTTTTTGTCAAAGCTGGGTGTGCAGCATCCCCCTTCCTTATAATACTTTTCAGACTTTGCCCTATTCTGATAGGTTGGGGAAAATCGAATTGGCCTCACACTTTTGGTGATGGAATTAGAAACATTTTTGAAGAAGGATGAGTGCTTACATATGCTTCTTCCATTACTTCAGGAAAGCTTAGGTCTTATTAAAATGAGAATGCCTCAGCTCTCCCCATTCCCACCCCCAGCAGTAATGACACAACGCAGTAATGACACAACGTTTCACAACTCTCTTCAACTTTGAGAAGTTTGAGGAACATAAAAGAGTTGAATCATTACAAGTGATAAGGTACCACCTTCCCCAAGTATCATAGTTCACCAAATAATTTTAACTCCCCATATTTTGAAGAGGAAGAATATCAGTGCGTGATGTAGGGATTCAGCAATAATGCAGTTTACATTGTTATTAGAATTTTTTTAAAAGCTTGGCATCAAAATTTTGCCTGACATGTTGCCTCAGAGCAGATGGCATCAAAATAGATACCAGACCAACTTCCCAGAAGAATTTATTCTGGCCTCGAACACCCCAATTGAAAAGGACCTTAATTCTGTCACCATCCATTTCACTTCTCAAAACTTGGCATCCAAGAAGGATCTTAACTAGCTGAAATTTTCAAAAGATCAAAGGTGGCCGTTCATACAACATACCAACTGTGGAGCAGAACAAACAACTCCATATCTGTATGCTTGTCCACAATGCCCTGCCTCATGCACAGATGAAGAATTGTTTAAAGCTATGGACAATGCGGTCACTGTTGGCTGTTTTTGGTCTAAAATTATTCAGTCGCTTGTGCCCCCTCTATTTTATCAGTTTTATACTTGTTTTATTTGTGCAATGCTTTTGACAGGAAAAATGAATATTACAACATATTACAATGGTCTAATATAGGGCCTGTCTACCCTCGCCACTATCTCAAAATCAGGCTAGAAATCACTCCCAGACATCCTCATGATGTTCAGAGATTTCCAGCACCTAACATGGGGCTAAATGGTTTTACTTCACATTAGCAGACATCAGGGAATAACCCACAGTTTTCCTAAAATGACAAAGTACCACCAGACTTAGTCACTGGTGTAAATGGTTGGTAACTGATTGGTCATTGGTAATTGGTAATTGATTGGTCTTTTCATCAGATGACTCCAGGGCCCAGGCCATTGCTGGGTGCCTTTGCTGATGTTAGCAAAGATGCTTGTAAACTTAGTTGAATGAACGAGAGAAAGGAGAGGGATTGTCTCCTCTATTTTCTAAGTAATATAGGTCTTTCTACTGATATGAGAAAAGGCATCTGGCAATGACCAGGGACTCTCCAGTTGGTCCAAGCCAGGTTTGGTCCAACTGGATGGTCAGGACTCCATCCTTCTGTTACAGAAGTGCTTGTGTAGCTAGGTACCCCTAGGGCTGATCCAGACTATTACTGGCCCCAGATTTTGTGGGCTTAGTAGATGGGTCCTTAGAGGTATCCTCCTGCAAGGGTTATATTTATACTCTAAATGAGCGGCTATAAAAGACAAAGCTAGAAAAAAGAGTTTTAGATCATAGTACAGACTTCCATCTGATTCTTTTCAGAATGTTCCCAGACCTTTCAAATATCACATTCACAGATCCACTTTGACAGTGAAGTCAGAGCATTCAAGTTTTCTATGAACTTTACTCCTGGTTACTTACTCAGGCAAGATAAGGACTCATACATATAAATGACAAAATCCAGAAAGTTACCTTGCAAACCATCTTAAACTGTTATAAGAATCGTGCATTTCAGGATTTCAATACCTTTTTTTTATGATAAGTGCAATAGAAATAAGAGTCAGAAAATATAAATGAAAATACAGATAATATATCCTGTTAGAGATTACTGATGAAAATACAAATAAAATATATAGGAAAAGAAATAATAAAAAACTCTCATGAATACAATTTCCCAATCTTACAGTATATCAGATAAGTTGTCACTGTAATATGGTTAGTGTCACAGCAGTAAAACTGAGGTAGAATGGAATGAAGCATGCTACAAGAAGCCATAACTGGCTGAAAGCCCGAATGGAAATACATCATCCTGCAACATTTTAATGCAAGTTCCATTTGTGTTTAAAATAAAAATAAAGCAGTTTCGATCAGCATATTGCGAGCACTGAGAACTCACTGAGGTGCCTTCCACACAGCTGTATAAAATCCACATTGAACTGCATTATATGGCAGTGTGGACTGAGGTAATCCAGTTCAAAGCATATACTGTTGATTATCTGCCTTGATATTTTGGGTTGTATGGCTGCGTGGAAGGGCCCTGAGTGAAAGTTCTGCTAAGTGGATTTAAACACTGTATCTAAAATATTTTTTCTATAAATAATGGAGCCACTTTCTTCACTGTCCTATATCCCAGGATCTGATCTGCTTTAAACTGGATTATATGAGTCTCCACTGCCAAGTAATCTGGGATAAAAAATCTGGGATCAGATCCAGGGATATAGGGATCTGAAAAAGGGGTCTGAGTAGCTCTTTAGGAAAAAAATCTGATTTTTGAGAAAGAGGCCATATAATTTTATAGTATTTGCCTTTGTTTAAAATCCAAGTCTTTGTTTATAAAATACTTATATTTGGTTATAACAAAGATCATTCTTGTTTATACTTTTAGGAATGGTGGGCCACTTCCATGGGTTTTTAAGAGTAACTGTTTGAAGTGACTCTTCTCACAGTGTGTATGTTTTAAAATGTTTTACTTTTTTAAAAAAAAGTTTTAACAAGGTTATTTCAAATTATGCCTTAATTTTATTGTGAGGTGTTTTAGTTGATCTTACATAGGATTTGGAAACTTGGCATATAAATGGCAAAGTGTTTTTCTATTTAGGTTAGGTGTAATATAACTGGGCATGGGTGAAACAACAGGATGGGGCCTAATAAAAAGCATAGTTTAAAATTTAGGTCCAGACCAAGGTTGCCACTTTGACACTGAACTGAGTTAGATGAGATCATCCTTCTACTATGCAACAGCCAAGAATAGATCTTCGCTTCTGCAATATTCAGTAGAAAATATGAGATCTTTGTCACGGCCAATCTGAATGCAGATTAACTGGGTTAATAGATTCAGCTTTTATCACATGGTTTCACAGCCAAAGTCCAGCTGTGATGTAACAACATTATGATAACAGGAATGTTCTACCAGATCTCAAGCATGATGGATCAGCCATAGCATTATTTTATAACAGCTAATCCCATTCTTGTGTCTTGGTAACCCGTTTGCAATTATAGAATATTTTTTCTTTGAATAGAATCATATTCTGAAGTGCTTTTCAAACTCTTTTCAAGTTTAAAATACTGACTGTAACACATGGCAGAGTAGTTTGGGGGGGGGGGGTTGTGTGAGGGAGTATCTGGTGATGAGTTCTGGCCATAGGTATCTTTTGTGGGATACCCTGGAGGGTTTTTCCCTATGGGAAGTTTATCTCTCTCTCTCCCTCTCTCTCTCTCTCTCACACACACACACACATACATATACACACACAAACACATACATACACACAAACACACAAATATGCGTTTGTGTGTGTTCTAGACTTATATAGTTTAACTTATACTAGATAATAAGTAAGAGTTATGTGAATATGACATTGAACTTCACACACAAAGGCAGCTTCCCTAAGATGGATATGTCCATTTTTCTATGTGAAGCTTTTCACTTAAGAATTACACTAGAATAAAAAGACAGCAGGGAGTAGTAGTAACTAGTAATGAAATCTGATGGGTTAAAATGAGAAATAAAGGAACACTTCATAAAGTTGAGCATTAGGGCACTAAGTTAAAATCAAAGCTATGGTTTGACAATACATTTTATAATCAAAGGCCACCACTATTGTGCACATAATTATCAGCTTTGTTTAACCCTTCTCCTTAGGCCTTAGGGTTTGATAAAGTGTGCCAGAAAATGTCATTGAATTTAATTAAACTTCTCCACTACTCCACTGTAAATAGAAAGGGAGTATGCTGGGCACATATGCAATAGAAAGGTATTGGAGTGTGAAGAACTAACATTATTGGATATGAAAAGCAATAACTTCTGTAATATAACAGTCTTATATGCTTTCTCTTCAGAATTACTCACCGGAGCTCCCTTTTCTCCTGCTGGTCCAGGGGGGCCCTGGGGGCCTGGACGGCCAGGCAAACCAATTGGACCAGCGGTCCCTGCTGGCCCACGTTCGCCAGGTGAACCCTGGAATAGAAAGAAAGATTGGCTATTATCACTTCTTATGAAAAAGGTCTGAAATCAGGACTACTAAAGCAATGAAATGCTTCAAACAAGGTTATTTTTTTTATGTGTCTCTGTCTGTCTCTGCCATACCTGCAAGTCATTGATGCATAGATACCTGAGCACACTGTGGATAATAAGTAAATGCTTGGGTTGTGTACTTTGGGGTATATTTAATTTTAACATGGGTGAATTAATATTAGTTAATAACTGCCTGTAGCCTTTGTTCTATACAGGATAACAGCTTCCTTAAGCTGTTATCAGTGTACATTTGAGACACTTTAAACATGACACCCCAGGTCAAATAACAAAATGCAAGTGCATTTTTTTCTTTCACTTTCCTTCTGGTTACTCTGAAAGTTGTTTTTGAGAAAAAAAATTAATGAGGAGGGTGAACATTATCTACTTAGATTCTCATTTATGTGTGTGTGTGTGTGTGTGTGTTAATAAACATTGAGCAGAGGCATGAAATCTGTCACAATGAAATTACCCTGACCCCCTACCTGTCAGGAAATAAGCAGATTCCATGGGTAAAATATCATTGGTCTTTCAACTCAATGTTGTCTAACCTGATTTGGCAGTATTTCTTCAAGGTTTCAGACAGATGAACTTATCAACTCCTTCTGGAAAGAAAGAACTTGGGGCCTTCTGTATTCATAACATGTGGTTTGCCAATGTACCATCAGAAACACATATCTCAAAGGCCAATTTCAAAAGAGGTTGAAAAAGATTTATATGGGTTTTTTCGACTGCATGAAGGGTGTAAATCTCTCCTTTTTCATTCTGGTAGGTGATAATGCAAAACCTCAAGTTTCTGTACTAGTGAAGAGTTTGTGTTTATATAAGTGTGCATTTGTAATGAAAATATTTGCACTTGTGATTACCCCTTTCTTTCTTTCTTTCTTTCTTTCTTTCTTTCTGTCTGTCTGTCTGTCTGTCTGTCTGTCTGTCTTTCTGTCTGTCTTTTTTTTTTGGCACAAATTGAGATTTTTACCTGGAGAATGATAGCAACTGTCATTCCCATAGACTTTTAAAAATGAGAAATGGATAGGTTGGTTATATGGCATCAGTGGGCACTTCTATGCTTGCTATGAAGGTGTTTTGTTTCACCAACAGAAAATAGACTTTAAAAAAAAACCTCCTGCACAAGTTGCAAAAAAACCCTTTGTTTCACTCTCATATAGATGCAAAAGGATCTTGTCGCACCTCAGATATTAACAGAGAGAATTAAGTTTGTAGCATGAGGTTTTGTAGATTAAGGGTGCTTCTACATCAACTCTAAAAACAGGCCTGAACTAAAGTCCCAGAAACCACTTTGAGCCCAGTTGGCTGCTCTAAATAGTTTTTCTGAGCCACAATCACAGGACCCAGCAGAGGCCTGCTGGACTCCAAGGGTAAGGAAGGTATCTGTGTTGCCACCAATGACAAAGGGGAGGGAACCATCTGCAGCTGTCTGCACTATCCCTAACTTGGGGGGCAACCAGAGCCTGCTTCAGGATGTACGTTTTCCTCCAAATTAGTTTAACTTGGGGTAAAGACATATATCAGTTTTTCCCTGTTTTCTTTACCCAAATTTTGTAAAAATGTATTAAAATTTTAAAAATCTCTTGGGAAACTGTGCATGACTTTGAATTGTGTGTGGTTTGGCACTCAGGTGGAGGACTGAAAAATATAACAAAATGGGTCAAGGGTGAAGCAATGTTATTGATTCCACAATACATAATCTGTCAAAAATATGATGCTTCTTTTTTTTAAAAAAAAACTGTTGCCAAAAAGGGAAGAAAGCAGAATAACAACTGATTTTAGGTAATAAGAAAATCAACTTACAGATAACAGAATAGCTGACTTTGGTCCACAAGATGTTTTGGACTTCAACTCCCAGAAATGCTTAGCTTGCTGGACTTCTGGGAGTTAAAAGTCCAAACATCTGAAGGAGCAAAGTTTGAGACTCAATGGGATGGCTGATGATTTTTCAAGAATTTCAAATTTCTAGCCCTTTAATATTCTGAAGACCTTTCTCTTTGTTTGGATGTTTCAAGATCACAGAATCCATTTGAGGTTGTCTCTGTTCCTTCTGTACTATCTAAGACAATTACCATGTGCTTGAAATACATAAGTCAGAAGCTGGATGGCAAAGGATAAAGGCTGGTCTTAAATATTAACATGGCATGACTGCAAAACATTGAAAGGGATTAAAGCTGCTTGGCTTTCATCAGGATTTCCAGAGAATGGAAATTAAATTTTATGGCAATTACAGTCTTATCCCGCAGAGGTTAGTCGGTTTGTTTTGAATGCTTATTGAGAAATGTATATGATTTTCAAACTGGAGACATACATATGACTTCAGAATTGGGAAAAATCACCCCCAAACAAAAAGATAAAATACAAGCAATGGGATTCTGAACCTTGCCCTCTATGAACTTCACTGAAACAGAGGACTGAAAGATGGATTAGAAGAGTCTCACAAAATACAGTTCTGGGATGTAAAAAATTAACGTTATTTCCAGAAAGCTAGTATAACATTGTATACCTCACGTATTAGTTTTTGTGTCTAATAAGTTCTTAGGATATAACACACATAAGTATGCAATACCCTACCTGAAAGTAAAAGTGATATAATCCGGTCTGGTGTGCACACAAGATTCTACTAATCTGATGCTATCACTCTCCAGCTGATGATTTCACTTTCCGCTTCCTCATTGTGGGGTCAATGTTGTCTAGGGCTTCCATGGCAGTGGTGTGTTGAATTTGTTCTAGATTTTAAAAGAAGGTTTCTTGAACCTATTTTGAGGATAGATTTGCAATTTGAATGAGAACCTGGAGCAGATTCATTACACCAATGACATGGGAGCCATCACTGTTGTGTGGACCAAATTAATACTGGATGATTCTGAAACTGGGAACAATTCTTGAGACAGGGATGGGGAACATATAGCCTTTGGGCTGGACAGGATCGGTGCCCTCCTGCAAGCAATTTAACCCTATATTCCATCTCTTCCCAGAAACCCCACTATCTAGACACTGTTTTAACCAGCATACAGCTCAAAAAGGAAGCATTTTTGCACGTTGTGTGTGTATTTGGGGGGAGAGGGAGCATATGATGGAGTTGGAGGCAGAAATTGACATTCAACCCCACATAGTTGTCCATCCCTAGTTCAAAGGCCTGAATGCATAGGTGTGGCCCATGGGAATTCAATGGAAAATTTAGCAGAGACAGTTTATGGATCCTTTGCATTTACAATCCTAGCAAAGCGTTAACCATCTTGTAAGCACCTGGACACGCTGAGCATACATGAGGAAATCTATATCATTTGTGGATTACAAAGTATCACAGTAGAAAGAATGTAAACTGGATAAAAACTGGAGATGGATCTTGTACCTTTAATGGCTGTGCAGAAAAGCAAATGTAAGCAACTACTGCTCATTACTTGGTTGCAATACAAACAGCACTTTTTTCTATATAACCATTAAAGCCACAAGAATCCTCTTTCATTTTTGATTTGATGACCAACACTATAGCCATACTGACTTGGAATTACATCAAATAGAACAAAAGTCTTTTTGAGGTCATTTGCCTAAGTCCCTTTTTCCACAGTACAGCATTGCCGCTTCTGCTGGACAATGCTTCCCTGCAATGGATTCAATCCTTGACATGCACACAAATGTAGGCCTCTTCACAAGATTACTGTCAAGATCATCTCCTAGGCATGGCTAGCAGTTAGGTGTTCAAAACCCCCCAGATCATTTGGTGCTGAGACTAGAATAGTTCACACAACAGTGGATACTATAAGCCTTCCTCAGCATGCTGTGGGACATGCTGTCACTCACCTCAGCTACACATCGAAGAGGCCAAATGATATGACAGAGCCCATTACAATTTCTTTCTTTAATATCCCTTTTTCCCCTGAGCAGCCCTTACCAATTTCTTAAAGATAGCTTTGCTTCATAATGAGAAAACTATTCACTACTCAGTTTTACTTTCAGATGAAATTTATATTTCATACAAGGGATAAAGCCATACATATGATACTATTCATCATTTTTTAAAATGATGAAATTCACCATATTGGTCAATAAAAAACAATAGTATGTTCCTCATCTAGAATATCATTATCAGTGCTTACAGTTTCCTCTTTTTATAGATTCATTGGTTTCCCAAATCTGGAGGCTATTACTTGCTATGAACACAATGCCTTATATTTGTGTACTGTTCACAGGCAGAGGTCCTCTGTTCCTTGCTGTGCTTGGGAAAGTGGCTTTTGTGGATCACCCTTCTTTGAACTCAGAGCTGCATAGCCACTAACCATGTTTTAGCTATTGTGGCTAGAGAATTCTAGGAGGTATGGTTATAAGAAACAATAATGTCAAGCTCTGTGGAAATCATTGCACCATGCACCTCCTCTCAGTTCTTTAATTGTCTCTGAAGATACTTTTCTTAGGAAAAAGTATTTTCATGGGCAAATCACAACAATTGTGTGACAGAGGGGTGGAATATAATTTCCAGAAGGAAGATATCATACTTCTCTTTCTAGACAGCTTCAAGGTCCTACAGCTAGTTTAAGCATAATGTTTTCAAATCATGAGTAACATTATCGTTTGTTTGCCCCAAACCCCTGATGATTTCAGAACGAAACAAATGCTAGAGAGAGTTTTCATTGTGGCTTCTTTGCATTCTTTTAAAAAATCAGTTCTCCTCTTTCAATTCTAGACCACGAGAGATTGCTTTCTTACCTACTTGTATTATCTAAAGCAACAAGAAAAGGCAGTTTGCTCCCTGCCGATAACAGCAGGTTTTAGATAGGCCAATATGTTTATGTTTATAGTTTCTTCTGTTGATGGACTCATTGTCTGTCATAATTACCAGGAAACTAACATTGACAGTCATGTGGGACATACATTTGGGTACTATTCACAAGAAAACATTCATATAACAGCATGAAAGAACTTTATAAAAAGGGGACACATTGTTCACACTAACACATCCTTCCAAGGGAAATTTCATTGTTCTTTGCCCATGTAGATTCTACGCACCACTGGGCCAGGTGGACCCTGGGGACCTTCTCCTCCTTTCAGACCAGCTGGACCCTATCAAAACAGGAAAATATTGTTACCACCATTCTCACCACCCTCATGTGAAGATTGATACTGCACTGCATTTTGCAAGTGATTTTTTTGTCACCTACTGTATCCACATAATATGAATGTTGCAGCATATGGATTATTTACTCATTAAATTTTCAAAGGATTGAAGAAAAAGGAAGCAAGGAAGCAAGGAAAAAAACCACATGCATTCCAAGAACATACAATCCTTTACAAGCTTTTATCAAAACCTAGCTTAATTAACAGTACATTCACCTGCTGCCAGACAAACATTTAACCATTAACTAAGGTGGTTGGTGCTAAAGTGTTTACCAAAGTGTTTTGGACAGAGATAGTCCGAAGTGTTTTGGACAGGGGATAGTCAATTTTATGAACCTGGAAAGATTCTTTTCTTGGTCAATAAACTCACTCTGCCCTCCTCCAATCCACACCATCATTTGTTTGTTTAAATGTTTCTATCCTGCCCTCTGTCTAGAGATCTCAGGGCAGTGTACATTTAAAATTGTTGTCACCTTCTCCAGTCCAATCAATCCCCCATTCTCTCAATAGGAAAAACAATTAAATGATGGGGCACGGAACGTTTTCATATAGTGCCATATGCCACCTGTATAATCTGGCACAGAGAAGATCATAAGGGAGTAGGAAAAAATGGGAGGGCTTTATCGTCCTTGTCATTCAGTATTGTCTACTTTGACTGCCGATGGCTCCCCAGAGAATTGACTTCAATTGTAATCAAACACCTGAAATCTCTGTAACTGGAGATAAAGGGTGGAGTGAGTGAGATTTTCAAGCCATTTCCCCATTGAATGAAATATTTTGAAATCATTTTTGCAAGTATGTACAGTTTTCATATGCAGAATACAAAATATATACATTTTGTGAATTCTTTTTCAAATGCGCAATTCTTTGTATCTACCCACCCTGAAATATGGGAATTTCAGGAGATAATAGATTTTTTTTTACGCTTACAACCTTGTTCATTTGCTATTCTTGAAGTACATATTTTGGGAAGTGAGTAGATTAATCTCTTACCCATCCTTGCTGACAAGGATCCCTTTTTTTCACAGAACCATTGCAGAACTGTGGTTCTATCTTAAGTGCTGCTGTTCCCATTAATGAAATTCAGAGATTTACAGTTTCAGGAGGGATATTAAGAATTATCATCCACAGAGCTTTAGTGATCCCCTGAATACAATCCACAGGAAAATGTAGGACAATGGGCAACACTGAAGGTGTAATCATAATGCTATAATTGTCTAGTGTATAAGGGCCCGTTGATTTTGAATTAATATTTGATATCATTCCATCTCAGTCCCAATATGATTACATTCTAGCTTCTTATAGACACAGTGGTGGTTGGGGACTTCCATGCCACTGGGACAGTGAATGCATTCTGTGTTTTGGTGCAAACTCCACTACTATCCCCAAATACATATAGCATCTTTGGAAACAGCTCTGGATTTAAGAACGTAGACAAAACTACAGGCTAGATTCTCATTCTCCTGGGGCTCACATGCATCCTTGGTAGTGCAGATTTGCACAAATTGTAATTAATGCTGAATGCACACCACTTGCCATTTATTATGACCTATGAGATGCTTTACCTTCCTTACTTTGAATTTCCAAATAAGCAATAAAAAACAGAAATTTGATTGTGCCTCTATGGGCTTTGTTCATTTTGTTGAATCAGAAGTTGTGTCTATGTGAGGTAATGTGAAAGAATCCTCAGCTGAAATGACAGCCAAAATTCAGATGAAAGGGGAATAATATATCCTTGTGAAATTGACTTTTACTTATATTTCATAACAACTTCACCCAATTTTGCCTTTCAACCTATTAAGGTCTCACAACTGAGAAGCAGTTGTGGAGTAGCTGGTAAGAGTATCAAACTTTGACCAGAGAAGAAATAAATGGAATGTCCCTGGGTTTAACATGATCTTCACAGAATTGCTGTGGAGATACTGTGATGGTGTTCCAAACAGTTAGACAAGATGTATGATACAAAGGCCTCAATCCAACTGCTAGTCCCAACTGGAATACACCAGTAGAATTAATGGTATTTGCACAGATATCGACACAAATATTCAGTGACTGATTCAATGGAACTACTGTATTTAGATCTATGCTGAAAAGTATGAGGCTGCACACTTCCCTATACAAGCACAATCTTTTTTCCCCCTATAGTAAAGAGATGTAGATGCTAGGTATGAACATGCTAGGTATGAACATTGTTGCCTCAACAATAGCACATTACTATACCTGAGCTCCTGGCAATCCTCTTTCTCCTGGGAAACCACGGAGTCCTGGGGGTCCGTCTTTTCCAGAAATGCCTTGAGGACCAGGATCACCCTAGGATGACAAGCAAAGACCAGTTTCAAAACATATTTCAGAGAATTCAGCTATGAATGTTGGATCAGCTATATGGCATACTGGGTTGTAAACTGGATTAATTGTCTAGGGATTCTACATCTTCTCCTTTGTGAAATTTTGCCAGATAGAAAGAGAAGGGAGAAAGAGTTGTTTTGGAACTTACTCCTTTTAATGCATGAGATGGAGATACATGAAAGTGCAACACCTTTTATAAGTAAGCTTCCCTTTGTTAACTTGATTTACCCTTTCTTTTGGTCACAAAAGCAGTTATCTGGGAGTTGTTGCATCATCCATAATCAATGAGTTTTATTTTACAGTAGATCAACACTCCTAAGAACAGAGACACAGGGTCTGAGCTTTTGCTGTTATATATCGTGGATTAAATTATATCTCCATTGTATTACTAACAAATTATTAGCCGTTTTATAATTGTGAACCAGATTGTCATTATAAAGGGGAATCAGAACACATTATGTTCATTTTTTTTCCAGCAATTGATGTTCAGAATTGTTCCATGCCCAATAACTCTTCAGGTTCAATATGAATTATATTAGCAGTGACACCCAATTGTAAGCAAGTTACTGCTTTGAGTTATAGAAATAAGCACATACAACGGAATAGCCTTATATCTGTGGCAAACTGTCCTTAAAAACAGAGGTACTCCCGGTCAGTCAGAAGGCAGATCAGAGTGTGGGATTATAGCCTGTGCTGGACAGGGTCACACTCCCCCAGAAGATACATGTTCACAGTCTGGGGGTGCTCCTGGACTCATTGCTGACCCTGGAACCCCAGGTGTCAGCGGTGGCCAGGAGCATCTTTACACAACTAAAACTTGTGTGCCAGCTGTGTCCATACCTTGAGATGCCAGATCTGGCTATGGTAGTCCATGCCTAAGTTACTTCCCATCTGGACTACCACAACATTCTCTATGTAGGGCTGCCTTTGAAGATAGTTCATAAGCTGCAACTGGTTCAGAGAGTGAAAACCATGTTACTAACTGGAGTGTCCTACAGGGAGAGAACTAGTCCCATATTATGGCAGCTACACTGGCTGCTGGTCTACTTCCAGGCTAAATACAAAGTGCTGGTTATTACCTATAAAGCCCTAAACAGTTTGGGCCCAGACTATTTAAAAAACCACATCTCTGCACACAAACCAGCATGAGCACTGTGGTCCACAGAGGAAGCCCTTCTCTCGGTCCCACCCCCGTTTCAAGCACGGTTGGTGGGAATGAGAGAGCAGGGGGCATTTTCATAGCTACTCCTCACATCTGGAACTCCCTCCCTAAAGAACTAAAACTGGCCCCTTCCCTCCTCTACTTTAAAAAGACCTCTTGTGCAATCTAATTTACGGAGAGAAGGAGGATTAGCATATCTTACATACATCCTCACCTTGACATCATACTGATACTTACCTCAGCCCGCTGATGTTATATACTATATTATGCTTTTAATGTATTGTGTTTTAATTGGTTTGACTCCTTGTGTTTATTATGTTTATTTAGTTTATCTCTTAATCTTTGGTTGTTTATAAATTATACTGAGTTCATATTATTTAATGTTTCATCTTGATTCTTGTTTCTCTGTTTTTCGGCATTAAATGTTTGCCATTTTTATATTTTGGAAACTGCCCTGAGTACCTTCGAGGAGAGAGGGGAGTTGTAATTAAATAAATAAATAAATAAATAATAATAACCTTTATTTATTACCCCGCCACCATCTCTCCAATGGGGACTCGGAGTGGTTTACATGAGGCCAAGCCCAAATAACAATTACAATTTAAAAAAACCAAAAACACAAACCAAAAATGCGAACAATAAACAATAACATCATAATTACATAAAACATATAAATACATAACAATATAAAAAATAAAAATATGCACAGGCACAATAATAATGGGCGGGCTACATGTAGTGATTAAAACGACAAACAGATTAAAACTAATTAAAAACTAATTAAAAACTCGGGTGAGATAAAAAAGGGAAGCAGGTAATTTATGGAGGAGGGCTCATTTTAGCGGGAGTTGTGGAATCAAGCTTTCCCATGAGGGGGGATGTATACTCCAATGGCAGAACTTTGAGGCAGAGCAATCATGTGGGATTATATACCTACACATCAAAGGCGCAGCGGAAGAGGTTTTAAGGTTCATTTTCAAGATTTCTAGGGAAGGGGCTTTCCTAATTTCTAATAATAAAGTATTATTATTATTATTATTATTATTATTATTATTATTATTAAGACAATTGCAAAAGAAACATCCATGGAAACATTGAGTTAGAAGATCAGCTAGTCTCCTGTTCTCTGCAGCATCTATAGTGCAGGATTCAACAGTGGAATCCCTGGTAGGAAGACAGATATGAATCCATTCTGAATGTATTATATTTAAAGACAACACAGACATTCACACATTGTTCATACCTTAGCACCTTCCTTTCCAGCAGCACCTGGAAGGCCTTGTTCCCCTGGTGGTCCTGGAGGGCCAGGGTGACCTCTTTCACCAATTGGACCTGTCTCACCAGTGGGGCCCTAAACACAAAAACACAATATTAATCAGTTCATGCCACCAAAATATTTGCCCTCCTTTGCAAAGAAACATATTTAACAAATTGTTTTATCAAGCTTAAATTATCACCCAGTCTCTGAAGCAGTAACATAAATACATCATGGGATGTAATGGTGTGCTGTTTTTCATATTTTAAAAGAATTATTCTGTCTTTTAATGTTTTTAAATTATTTTGATTTTAAATATTAAGACAATACTTTTTCAGCAGTACCATTCTACTTTTTCCTAGTACCATTCTCCTTTAATTGTCAAGGCAGCATCCTATGGAATCCTGGAATATGCAGTTTAGCGGAAAACCTTCAGAGACTTATGTGCTTTACTGCCTATTCGAGGATTTCACAGAAAGTAGATATGACACTTAAACCGGAATCATAGAGCTACAATTATGGTATGGAGAGGCCCCTGGAGAGACAAATGATCCTTACTTCTGGCCCACAGTCTCCTACATTTCTATACATAACATGATTAGTATTTATACACAGACAGCCTAATTCACTGGAATGTGGCTAACAGCATGTAACTGTTGGCTTTACAAAACAACAAGCTCTCTATGCAGCATGGCCAAATTACTAAATGCAAGGATATATTATGTCTGATGTCCCTTGCTAATATGGATGGGCAGCTGTGGAGGGGTTCCATTTCCCATACCACAGGATCTGACTGAATGTGCCCTGTTTAGTTTTAAGTGCCCATAGTCTAAATCAAGATACAAGGCATTTTCTTGTTTTACCCAGAAGCCATGCCCCCTAGAGCCATATGGACAGGAACACCGAACAGGGGCTTTGAAAATGGGCTTCATGTCCCCATGAATGGTTTTCTTCTATGGCAGGTGGTCCATCAGTGGCACCATTCCTACATTTGCAAAATCCCAATTAACTACCCTTGCTTTGTTGTAGATGCATTTTCATATACCCTGGTGAGGCAATGTTTCTTTCAGCTGATAGTGTTCCTTTCAAAATTTAAAAAACAAGCGCTGCTGGCTTCAAAGGATTCTAACTATTCTTTCTGTTTGTTAAAAACTGTTTCAAGAAAGATGCAAAGAAAATGCAGCCTTTTGCCACAACAGTTTAATTACTGCTATTTGATGATAAATATCAAACAGCCACATCAGAAACATCATCACAGCATGATAATTATGCTCATCACAAAAATGTATGTCCAATCACTGTGTACACACAGATATGAATGGTAAAACAGAATTTTTTCTTCGTGGTCTCTGCGAATGCACACTTGTGGAGAGACTGCGCCTGCGCGGGCTCCAACGGAAACTTCTACATTTTAAAACTTTTCAAGTTTTGGCGGTAACCCCGCCCAGCCCCGGCAGGGGATAAAAGGGCGCCCCGCGCACACCGATCCAATTCCTTTTTTTCCGCCGCATGGCTCGCTTCGGTACTTCTAGTTAGATAGTTTTTCTCTACAGAGATTTCCTCGAGTTGTTCGACAATATTATGTCAACAACTCGCTTCAAAAGATGCGCGAATTGTCCGAAGAAGATCCCTGATTCGGACAAGCACGCTCTTTGCCTTTTGTGTCTCGGAGAGGCACACATTACTTCTTCGTGTCGTCATTGTCAATCGTTGACGGCACAGTCCCGTAAGAACCGGGTCCATCGGCTTCGATACCTTCTGTACCAGCAGACGTTGGCTCCGGTACCTTCAACATCGACATCGGCGTCGACGTCAGCTGCGGTATCCAGGCCTTCGACATCAGCTTCGACGTCGAAGGGAGCATCGACATCAAAATCTGTCGATCCCTCGACGGAGACCGAGCCTCGCCAGACAAGGGCGAAGAAGGCTGCGCAGAAAAGGCCGAGAACAGCTATGTCGACAACTTCTAAGGCCTCGGTGTCGACAGCTTCCAAGGCTACAAAGCCTACGAAGCAAAAAGCTCCATGCACGGTCACGACCGAGACCGTACGCATCCGGCACTCTTCGACCAGCTCAGTGGCGTCGGTGAGATCGATCAGGTCCACGAGGTCGACATCGGCGACTCCGCCATCTTCCACGGCGGTTCGCATTGCTTTTCGCCGGTCTCAAGAAGAATCTCGGCGTGCTTCCACCTCATCCTCCGTCCCGCCCACCCCGGGCAAGTCTGTGTCGAAGACAGCTCAGCCGCCGGCAAAGAAGAAGAAGACGATGCCGCCTCCATCCTCGTCTTCTTCTTCTTCCCGAAAGCAGACCACCGCCTCCTCGGCCACCTCGTCGGCGAGGTCATCGCCGTTGCAGCCTGCTGAACCCCAGCCGGCCCCACAGCCTGCTCAGGAGCCACAACCTCTGCCGGAATTGCCTTCGGAACAACCCGAGTCCCCGGTGATCTCGGTGGACACGGTGATCGAGGCACCAGCTCGACATGTGACAGCCAGACAGGAGCTTTTCCCGTCGGTCACGACCTTGACAACTGTGATGGCAAGACAGGAGACTTCTCCAGTGTTGGAGACTCCAGAAAGGGGCAGGCAGACTATGAGACTGGCCCGTGCCATTCAGGCTTCGGCCTCAAAAGCCCCCCCAGTGGCTCCACCGCAGCGCCCGAGTCGGGATGTCTCCTCATCCCCTCCTCCCCAATCCGTGGCTGCCGATGACGAAGAGGAAGATGGTGAGTTACCGGGATCGGTACACTCGGGGTCTGTGTTATCTCTCGGGATCGAGAGATCACCCACTCACGATGCCTACGAGGCTGATCCTCCGTCTCCCACGGACAATGTCCGAGCCTTTGCAGATCAAATGGCTCGCATGGCTGATTCCCTAGGCTTGGAGGTCAAGCAGACTTCCAAAGCGGTGCAAGACCCGGTGTTCAAGAGGGTGCAATCGGAATCTCCACCCGCTCCTCTTCTACCCTTCCTTCCCTATCTCCTTGAAGTGATCCAGGGCTCCTGGAAGACCCCTTCCTCCATCCCTCCAACCTCTAAAAAAATTGAATCGTGGTATAGAACGGACGATGAGGGCTTGGAGTGGCTGAAACACCATCCCGACCCTAACTCGGTGGTCGTGAAGGCGGCTCAGGGGTTCGGAAGGCAATCATCGGCGCCTTCCAACTGTGAAGGGAAGAGATTTGACGCAGTCGGCAGGAAGCTTTACTCCGGTGCCCTCTTGCTGGCCCGCATGGCCAATTATGGTGCTTGCATGGGCGCATACCAACAAATTCTCTGGGAAAAAGCAGCTCAATTTTTCCAGAGAATGTCTGACGAGGATCGTACTGCCCTCTCCACCCTGGCTCAAGAGGCGAACTCTCTGGCGCATCATCAGATGCAGATGGCGAAACACACGGGGGACACTGCGGGCAAGATGATTGCTCACGCCGTGGCAATCAGGAGGCATGCCTGGTTTAGATCCTCTGGCCTCTCTACATCGTCGAGGCAGGTGATCGAAGACCTTCCGTTCGATGCCCTGGGGCTCTTCAACGCCGGAACGGACGACAAACTGAAGTCAAATCACGACTTCAAGACCTTGGCTTCTAAGTGTGGGTTCGAGAATCAGAACCAGGCGCAGAGGACCAGATGGTTCCAGTACAAACGCCGGCACACGGTCCCGTACCGCACCATACAGTACCGCCAACCAGCCCGTCCCCTGCATACCTCCCAATAAACCCACCCTCAACAACCCCAGCAGCAAAGGAGACAGCACCAGCAGCAGCGTTCGCGGTCCCGTCAAGCTTCTGGAGGCAATCAGGCTAGGCGCCGCATTTGACGCCCTAATGGACGATACCGTTTGCTCTTTCGTTACAGATGTTGTTCCTATGTCCCTCCTTCCATCCGGCTCGACACCGTTCGGGGATCGCCTAACAAACTTTCTCCCTGCATGGGAAAATATCACCTCAGATGCATGGGTTTTAAAGATTGTCGACGAAGGCTATGCATTGGAGTTCGAGGAGCTCCCACCAACAGGGCAGATTGTCGATACCGAACCATCCTCGGCAATTCTGACAGAGGTCGAGACCTTGCTTCTGAAAGGGGCAATTTCCCCTCTCCCGGACTCTCAAAACCATCGAGCCTTCTTCTCCAGGTACTTTACTGTCCCGAAGCCGGATGGCTCCCTCCGCCCAATCCTCGATCTCAGAGACTTAAACTCCTTCATCAAACCCCAAAAGTTCTGGATGGTGACGGTATCGTCCATTCTCCCTCTACTCAGATACGGAGACTTCTTCGCGTCCGTCGATCTCCGGGACGCTTACTTCCATCTCTCAGTCAGAAAACAT